GAAAAAAATCTGTGATTTTATAATAATAACAAATCTGCAAAGGCTTAGAGAATGAAATAATGGACATTGGAGACTCGGTTCATGTTAAGCTATAAGAATTTAATCTGGAGATTATGGAATATATCTTCCCTCACTCATAGGGCCGGGATGAGACTAATCATTGACAATAGCAGGCGGAACAAAGTAACACCATCCACACACCATACAAAGTGAGACGGCTAGCGACTTATTAATCCTATAAGCTATTGATTAATTCATCCATCAAACATATATTGAATAACCGAGTGATTGACACTAATCATACAAGTTCACAAGAAAACCCATAAGAAAGCTTCATGGCAAAGCTTTGTCTTACTAAGCTGCTTACATATCTAAATTCAGAAAGAAGAGAGACAAATACATACAATGTAAACCTTGCCAGTGAGCTGAAAAATCTGCTTCCCAGATTACAAAATTGCATCCAGATGTTATGTTTAAAGGAAAGTCATTCTTAATAGCAACGACTCTCATATTTTACTATTGTTTCTTAATAGATGGCTAAAGATTACTGAGAGAATAAGAAAGACAAAGAACCACAATACTGAGTAATTTTGAAATCTTTTTTATGGAATAAAAATATCCACTCGTCTTCACAACAGGAAGGAAACTGGAGATAACATCCTTGGGAGTAGAAGACACCTTCTCGTCTTCTTTCCCTAAATATTCCCTTCTGGCCTGGCTGGCAGATGGAAGAGAGCTGTTTCACCCTTGAAATCCTAACGAGAAAGTGTGGAAAAGGCAGCAAACCTCAACCCCTTTTTGGGTCTAACCATGTATATTGCTCCTTAATTGGGTGTGTCCCAATTAATTTATTCATAATGTGCAAAGCTCTAAGTTTTTACATTTTTAATTGAGATAAGGGAATTTGACATTCTTCCTGAAATAGAATCATGCTCACTCCCTGTACCGTGTTATGCTTTCTCAGTAGCATGAGAGGTGGTCAGAGGTAGAGTGAGCCTTGAGATCTGATTATTATCCTGGACAATATTGAGCACATGAAGTCCATCCCTCGTTGTCACAATAGATCATGACAGAGCAGACGCCTTGGGGAGTTCTGGGGGGTCAGTCACCAGCCTCTTTACCTCCCAGGATCTCTGAGCTCTGATGGGGGAGAAGGAAGGGGGCCAAGGTTAAAGCTTCCTCTCCAAGGGAAAGTCCTGAGAAAGCAGGACACAGTCATCAAAACTGCCAGGACATTCATTCTGCCCAGTGTGGGGGTAGAAAGCAAACATGAAGAGGAAAGTTAGGCCTCCTCAGGCCTTTGCTTTTTAAAAAAAAAGCCAAATCAACTCTCAATGATCAAATGTTAACTAACTAGAAGGCATGTCTTCTACTAGCACTCAGCGGGTTTCCGTTTTTCATTCACTGGCTTCAAATTTCCCTTCAAAAAGACATATTGAACAGCGTGCTGATATCTTTCAACCTGGCAGTAAGTTCACCAGCTGCACCAGCCATTGGAGAGAGAAGACTGTTATCCCAATTGCCAATTTTAACCAACCCAGTAAGTAAATAACCTGGGCCTAATCTTTATAGGCAGTTAAACTGTGCAGTGCTTGATAAATACTCCTGGGTGGTTGCATAAAAGTCAAACAAAGGACATTGCTGGATAACAAGACAGCTGCAAAAAAATTAGCATGAGATCCCAGAGGAGACTGAGGGTTCAGAATCACAGAGGCTATGGTGACAAGAAGGATACCTGTTACAAAGGAGTGATGCTTATTAGAAGAACAGTAAGTCATGGCAGATACATTTAAGGCGCTCTACAATCAGTTTTAAGATAATTAACATTGCCTGAAGTTAAGCACAGTGAGATAACAAAACACAAGCCCCATTCAAACATTGTGTTAAACCCTTACAATTAACTTCCCATTATGAGGAGCAAATTTTGTATAAAAGGGATTTTTTTTTTTTTGAGTTGAAGTCTCACTCTGTCACCCAGACTGGAGAGCAGTGGCACACTCCTGACTACCGTAGCCTCCACCTGCTGGGCTCCGGTGATCCTTTCTCCTCAGCCTTCCAAGTAGCTGGAACTACAGGCACGCACTACCACACCGGGCTAATTTTCTATTTATTGTGGAGATGAAGTCTCGCCAAGTTGCCCGGGCAGGTCTCAAACCCTGCAGGCTCAGGCAATCCACTCGCCTAGGCCTCCCAAAGTGCTGGGATTACAGGCTGAGCCACTAAGCCCAGCCGGAGTCTCACTCTTATGGCCCAGGCTAAAGTACACTGGCATGTTCACAGCCACTGCAGCCTTGACCTGCTGGGCTCAGGCAATCCTCCCACCTCAGCCTTCCAAGTAGCTGGAACTACAGAGGCATGCCACCACGCCCGGCTAATTTTTTGATTTATTGTAGAGACAAGGTCTCTCCAAGTTGCCCAGGCTGGTCTCAAACCCCTGGGCTCAAGCAATCCTCTCACCTCAGCCTCCCAAAGCTCTGGGATTGCAGGCTTGAGCCACTGTGCCCGGCCATAAAAGGGATTTTGAGGAAGGATACTTGTTCAGGAAGGCAATAGTGGAGTTTGGGAGGTTAGACTTTGGGTCTTCTACAACCACATAGCCTCTTTTTTCAACCAATTGTAAAAACCAAAAGCAGGAAAAAATTCATCTGCTAATCATATTTCCAGCTGGGCCCAACCTGAAGGAAGTTAAGAGGAGAGGACAAATGAGACTCAGAGGGCAAAGGGACTGACAAGTGACAAGAAATGATTAAAACCGTCTAAAATGCCCAGCTTTGCCCAATAGCAACCAAGAGGAGACATGATTGTTACTGGAAAGTATCCACAGCAGAGTAAACAGCAATCTAAATCATTAACTGAACTGAATAGAAGGAATAAATTGGGGAGAAATTTTGTTTTTTGTTTTGAATTGGAGTCTCATTCTTATCACTCAGGCTGAAGTGCAGTGGTACACTTAACGGCCACCGCAGACTTGACCTGCTGGGCTCAGGTGATCCTTCTGTCTCAGCCTTCCAGGTAGCTGAAACTAGACACACACCACCACACCTGACTAGTTTTTGTGATTTTTCTGTAGAGATGAGGTCTCACCAAGTTGCCCAGGCTGATCTCAAACCCCCGGGCTCAGGCAATCCTCTCACCTCAGCCTCCCAAAGTTCTGGGATTACGAACTGAGCCACCGTGCCCAGCCAGGACAGAGAAATTAAAACGTAAGGTCTATGATTAGAAGAGTTGCCAGACAGACCATCATCACCTCAGGGTAACCAAAAGACATCTTCTCAGGAGGCTTCTAAAGGTCAGGCTTTACCATGAACCAAATGAGCATCTCCAGTCTTGGAACTGGAAAAACCCTCCTAAAAGAGCAGTGTTCTATTTTTTTGGAGAAAATTGCCTAAAATGTCTTCCAAAGAAGCAAAAGTCTATGGTGGGTCAGCAGAGCACTAGTTTTAAAGGAAGTGGGAAAGAAAGCAGGAAGTATGGAAAAGAAGCAGGTCACTGGCAAGCAAAGAAGTGGTAGGAAACACCACCCTGTCTAGACTCTCAAAAACAAGACAGAACTATGACTAGCAACATAATTTGGCAACGGTTTTGTGTGGCCTTGGTTCATCAGTATGACTTGGCTTTTTTTAGCCTCACCAGTTGGTGGCAACCTACCACACAAACTCTTTGTGTTTTAAAATAAGAAATGATTCTCCAAAAAATCATAGGAAGTGAGTCTTTGTAGTTTTTTCTATTTATAAAAAATGGTGCCGGGTTCGGTGGCTCAGCCTATAATCCCGCGCCTTTGGGAGGCTGAGGTGAGTGGATTACCTGAGCCCACGGGTTCGAGACCCGCCTGGGCAGCGAGACCTCATCTCTACAATAAATCAAAAAATCAGCCAGGCGTGGTAGTGCATCCCTGTAATTCCGGCTACTCGGAAGGCTGAGGCGGAAGGATCGCCGGAGCCCAGCAGGTCGAGGCTGCGGTGGCCGAGTGGGCGACAGAGTGAGACTCCAACTCAAAAAAAAAAAAAAAATGGTACTTAGCAGAATAGCGGCTCAGGCCAGGTGCAGTGATTCAGCCTGCAATTCCAGCACTTTGGGAGGCCAAGGTGAATGCATTGCCTGAGCCCTCAGGTTCAAGAACAGCCTGGCAACTTGGCCAGACTTCATCTCTCCAATCAATTAAAAATTAGCCAGGCACGGTAGCGCATGCCTGTAGTAATGGCTACTTGGAAGGCTGAGGCGGAAGGATCACCAGAGCCCGGCAGATCGCCGCTGGGGTGGCAGTGAATGTGCCACTGCCTTCCAACCTGGGCCACGGAGTGAGACGATAACTCAAAAAATAAATAAATAAATAGAAGAATAGTGACTCCGAATACAAGCTTGGCATCAAGCAGCTCTGGGTTCAAATTTCAACCCTGCTGTTTACTATATGACTGACTCTTAGCCCATAATATAACCTTTTAATGACCCAAATTCTCAGCTGAATAGGGAGTGATAACACATACCTGTGGCAGACAGGGTCCTTGGTTGCTAAAATGACACTGAAAAACTTCACCAGAAAAGAAATGTATTGAGAAGACACTCAAAATCTCAGAGACTGACAATAATGCTCAGTGATCTATCACAGAAACAAAGAACAGAGTACTGCATGTTCTCACTCATAAGCAGACCCTAAACATTGACCTTAATACTAAAAGAAAGGGATTGGCAGTAGCAGGATATTGCTGGTGTGGGGCTGGGGGAACACAACATCAATAAGGGTACCTGATCTCAAATCAGGCAAAGTGGGGACCAAAGGGAGGCCCTAACTTTACCTGTACGATATCTACTTGCATACCTAATCCTGAATGGTACCCCACGTCTTTAAAATAAAATAAAAACTCAGAGACTCAACAGTAGAGCCAGTTGAGAAAATGGATGGAAATTAAGGGAGATGAATCACACAGAGCCATGGGCAAAGTTATTATGCCACAGAAACTGACATGTTAGAGTGTCACTGCATGAATTACTGCCACTATTACCCTGGACCGTACGCACTAGACTCTGCTGCCACTGGACCCTGGATGTTGTCCCCATTTCCTCCATGTACTGCCATTGAGAAGTGAATTTTAAAATATCTCTGCATCGACCGGGCATGGTGGCTCATGCCTATAATCCCAGCACTTTGGGAGGCCGAGGTGAGAGGATTGCCTGAGCCCACAGGACTGAGACCAGCCTGGGCAACTTGGTGAGACCACATCTCTACAGTAGATCCAAAGAAAAGTAGCCAGGCATGGTGGCACATGCCTGTAATTTCAGCTACTTAGAAGGCTGAAATGGAAGGATCACCTGAGCCCAGCAATTCAAGGTTGTAGTGGCCGTGAGCATGCCACTGCACTCCAGCCTGGGTAACAGAGTGAGACACCAACATACACACACAAAAAAAATCTGCACCATGTTTTTCTCACTTGTGGTTGCAGTGTCCCACTGATTGGCCAAACCTAAGTCATATACATGTAGTGTAGCTGCCAGAGGGAACAGAGAGGGAGGAGCTGGTCCTTCTCATCTTCTTTAGCAGACAGCAGCACTCAGCAGCCCATGGAGATTCACAAAGTGCAAGATTTCCTCCCTCTAAGACAGGTGTGAATACTGGGAAGCCAACAAGAAGACAAATATCTATTCCAATTCACCTCTGTGTCATGCCCAACTTTGCCTCCCTTCCTCTTCCCCCAATTAAACTTCTCCTAGAAAAGTTCCCAACTAACCAAACACAGCTACCTTTATATAGTCAAAAATGTACAATTCCTTTCCCAGAAGGAAAACAAGACATCAGTTATTGCATCACCTGAAATCTGGGCTTACTGAATGATGTCCTATAACAATCTCTGAGTCCTATAACAATCTCTTCTCAATATTCATCAGCCAATGAACCAAACTGGAACATGAATAACCATCCCAACAGTGTGGGGAAAGGAGAGGAAAGGGGGAAAAAATGAGAAACAGACAAGTATCTGTCCCACCCACATCTAACAGGTTCTGAGTTCAGAGAGCAAGAGGTCAGATATCAAGAGATGTTGTACCTTCTCTTATACGTTTTACAGCAAAGAAGGAAATACAGGTAGGAAGGAAATCCATGGTCATTAAATTTACAATTGATCACTCTAGGCTATGGCTAAAGTTTTATTTCCTCTTTTGTAGGTCCTTGGCAGCTCAGAGTTCCTTTCTTGGTAAAGTCGCTCAAATCTTTATTTCTAAGGCATAGATAGGCTATTGGGGGTCCTACCTAAGTAGAGTTCCAGTAGCCTTCCATTCAATGCTACCTCTGGCTACATTAGAAGAAGGAAGTATCCCAGAACATGCCCCCAATGACCCAACAGCAGCTCTTTTTCACCCTGATGCTTAGGATCAGACCCCACTGTCAACACCAAAGTCCTCTATTCCAATGGTACAAGGACACCGAAGTAGCCAGGTGTAGCCTCAGCTTCCAACTCAGGAGAACCATCATTTCGTTTCTTGGTAGACACTTTCATCCCTTGAGTACTTAAGACTCTAACCAATAGCAGCCAGGGTCGTAAGAATAGAAGCAAAAATTTCAATTGCATCCTGGACAACATAGGGAGACCCTGCCTTTACAAAAAATTTTTAAAATGCCACATGTAGTAGTGCATGCCTGTAGTTCAAGCCACTCAGGAGGATAAAGCAGAAGGATTGCTTGAGCCCAGTTTGAAACTACAGTGAGCCATGGTCATACCACTGTACTCCAGCCTGGGCAACAGAGTAAGATACCATCTCAAAAAAAATATTCAACATGGTAATTAGGTAAAATTATTTATAGTTCCTTGTTCCAAGGTACATGTCTTCTAACAGGGAAAAAATGCCATAAATTTGTCCAAGAAAATACAGTTGATATCAACTGCATACAGCGCCTTGAAAACTGTTATATCCCAGCTGACATCATGAGTAAATACTTAATAGACTTTTTTTTTTTGAGTTGGAGTCTCACTCTGTCACCCAGACTGGAGTGCAGTGGCCCCTCCTGGCCACCGCAGCCTCAACCTGCTGGGGTTCCGGCGATCCTTTCGCCTCAGCCTTCCTGGTAGCTGGAACTACAGGTGCGTGCTACCACACCCGGCTAATTTTTTGATTTACTATAGAGATGAGGTCTCACCAAGTTTCCCAGACGGGTCTCGAACCCGCAGGTTCAGGCAATCCACTCACCTCAGCCTCCCAAGGCGCGGGATTACAGGCTGAGCCACTGAGCCCGGCAAGCTGCTTCTATGTGATGGTAAAGGAGTGAGAAACAACAAATAATTGCATATGAACCCACTGACTTCCTTAATTTACTGCAAAGTCAGAAGCAGGCTGTATGGAATACTATATATAAATCTTTAGTATATCCATGATTATCATAAAATCATTAGCCAAATTATTAGCCCTTGATCATGGCATGTATAAATCTTTTTTTAACCTTGAAGTATTTTTCTCTTTTTTTAATTTTTTATTTTAAATATGTGGAGTACAATTCAGGCTCAGGTATACAAATGTTCATTATGCAGGTACTCTTGTTGATAAGATGTGTCCCCCGCTCCCCAGGCAGTTTCCTACTAAGGCCAATCCCTTTCTTATACTGTTACAATAGTTGTTCAAGGTCCACTTATGAGTGAGAACGTGTGATACTTGGTTCTTTGTTTCTGTGACAGATCACTCAGTATGATAGACTCTAAGTCCATCCAAGTTGCTGCGAAGTTCATAATTTTGTCCTTCTTTATGACTGCGTAACATTCTATCGTGTATATGTGCCACACTTTTTTATCCAGTCCACTTTCAGTGGGCAGCACGTTTAATTCCATGTTTCTGTTATTGTGAATAATTCTGCAATAAACATGTATGTGGAGGCATCTTTTTCATAGAGTAATTTGAGTACTTCGAATATATTCCCAGTAAGGAGATTGCAGGGTCATATGGGAGATTGATTTTTAGATCTTTTAGGAATCGCCACACTGTTTTCCACAGAGGTTGTACTAGTTTATGCTCCCACCAACAGTGTGGAAGTGTTCCCTTTTCACTGCATCCTCTTCAGCATTTGTTTTTTGAGTTATTGATGATGGCCATCCCAACTGGAATTAGGTGGTATCTCAGTGTGGTTTTAATTTGCATTTCTTTGATGACTAGTGAGGCTAAGCATTTTTTCATGTATCAGTTGGCTGCTCATATGTCTTCTATTAAGTATCTATTCATGTCTTTTGCCCACTTTGTAATGGGACATTTTTTATTTTTTATTTTTGGCACGTTTGAGTTCCTTATAGACCCTAGATGTTAGGACTTTGCCAAATATACAGTTGGCAAATAGTTTTTCCCAGTCTGTGGGCTGTCTCCTTGCTTTCTTGGTTTCTTTAATTTTGCAGAAGCTTGTCAGTTTGATGAGCTTCCACTTATCTATCTTATCTCTTATGGCCTGTGGGTTTCGGGTTTTGTTCAGGAATTGGATGCCAGTTCCAATATCCATAAGGGGTCTCCTACATTTTCTAAGGTTCTTATAGTTTTAGGTTTTATGTTTAGGTCTTTGATCCATTTAGAGTTGATTTTTGTGTACGGTGATAGGTAGGGGTCTTGTTTTAATCTTCTGCATGTAATAAGCCAGTTTTCCCAGCACCATTTACTGAATAGGTTTTCCTTTCCCCATTGATTGATTGTGGAAGCTTTGTCAAAAATAAGTTGGTTGAGAAATTGAGATTTTGCTTCTGGAATCTTTATCCTGTTCCATTAGTCTATATGCCTGTTCTTGTACCAATACCAGGCTGTTTTGATTATTGTAACTTTATCATAAAGCTTAAAGTCTGGGAGTGTGATACCTCCCTCATTGTTTTTGTTGCTGAGGATTGTTTTGGCTATTCATGGTCATTTATGTTTCCTTTTGAATTCTTGTATTATTGTTCCCAGGTCTGAAAAGAATGCTGCTGGTAATTTAATGGGCATTGCATTAAATTTGTAGATTGCCTTGGGTAGGATGGACATCTTAACAATATTGATTCTTCCAATCTATAAGCATGAATATTTTCCATTTCTTTGTGTCATCTTTGATTTCTTTGAGCAATGTTTTGTAGTTTTCCTTGAAAAGGTCTTTGACTTCTCTGGTTAGTAAGATGCCAAGGTATTTCTTTTTTCTTTCTTTCTGTTTTTTCTTTTGGGGGGATGGTGTGCGTGTTTGTGCATGTGGGTGTGGGGCGGGGGGCTGTTGTGGGATGGTGCTTTTTAGTTGGGTTTCTGTTTTATTATTCTTGGTGTATAGGGATGTGACTGACTTTTGCACATTGATTTTGAACCCTGAGACTTTGCCAAAGTCCTTTATTAGTGCAAGGAGGTTTTTGACAGATTCTCTTGGGCTTTTAAGGTATAGAATCATGTTGTCTGCAAAGAGAGATAACTTAACTTCCTCTTTTCCTATTTGGATATCCCTGAGCTCCTTCTCTTGTCTGATTGCTCTAGCTAGAACTTCCCATCTATGTTGAACAGTATGGGTAAGAGTGGGCATCCTTGTGTTGTTCCGATTTTCAGGGAAAATGGTTCCAATTTCTGTCTGTTTAGCAGTAGCTGTGGGTTTCTAGTAAATGGCTCTTACTATTTTGAGATATGTTCCATCTATGGCTAGATACTTGAGGGTTTTTAATCAAGAAGGGATGCTGGATTTTATCAAAAGTTTTTTCTGCATCTAATTATATAAACATGTGGTTTTTTTCTTTACATTTGTTGATGTATTTATTTACATTTATGGTCTTGCGGATGTTGAACCAGCCCTGCGTCCCAGGGATGAAGCTTACTTGGTCATGGTGGATGATTTCTGAGATGTGTTGTTGGATCTGGTTTGCTAGAATCTTGTTGAAAATTTTAGCATCTATGTTCATCAAGGATATCAGCCTGCAGTTCTCTGTCTTTGTTGGATCTTTACCCAGTTTGGATATTAATGTGATGTTAGCTTTGTAAAATGATTTGGGGCGAGTTCCGTCTTTCTCAATTGCCTGGAATACTTTCAATAGAATTGGTATCAGCTCCTCCTTTTAGGGTTTGTAGACTTCTGCTGGAAAGTCATCTGGTCCAGGACTTGCTTTTGTAGGTAGTTTTCTTATGACATAGTTGATGTCCTGGGTT